ATAGCCCATATTTAGTGAAGTATCAGCATTTAAAGATTGGCAACATTTTGTGATGTCTTTAGATGATCGGCACTATATCTAAATTTGTCAGTAAGAAAACTAAAATCACGTGAAGTACTATTTTTTGAAAAATTTTTATTCCATTTTTGAACGAATTACAAAATTGCTATTTTAAAATTTGGCTGCATGGCGCAGCAATAGGAGGTCTTTAGACCGAGCCAACCATATATTTTTCAGGGTCAATGGTGACCAACAAATCACCAACAAATAATAATGACCTCAAAACTTATTCTTAAAATCAACAGTGCCTTAAAATTGCCAATATGTTATTAAAGATCAGTGATGACCTGGAATTACAAATACATTTTAAAGGTCAACCATGATCCTGAAACTGCCAATAAATTTTAAAGGTCAATAATATCCTTGAAACTCTATATTAATATGTTTTCAAATCAATTATGACCCTGAAATCCTCTATATTAATATTAATATTAATGTTTTCAAGATAAATTGTGGCACTGAAATATTTTAAAGGTCAAATGTGATCCTGAAATTCACTATAGATTTTAAAGGTCAAAAGTGACTCTGAAATTCACTATGTTTTCAAGTTCAATTGTGATCTTGAAATTCTCTACATGTTTTGAAGGTCAATTGTCTATACATTTAAAGGTCAAATGTGAGCCTGAAATTCTCTATGTGTTTTAAAGTCAATTGTGATCCTGAAATTCTCTACACACTTTAAAGATCAATTGTGATCCTGAAATTCTGTATATGTTTTAAAGGTCAAAGGTGACTCTGAAATTCACTATGTTTTCAAGTTCAATTATGATCTTGAAATTCTCTACATGTTTTGAAGGTCGATTGTCTATACATTTAAAGGTCAAATATGACACTGAAATTCACTGTGTTTTCAAGTTCAATTGTGGCCCCGAAATTATCTATATGTTTTCAAGGTCAAATGTGACACTGAAATTCACTGTGTTTTCAAGGCCAAATGCAAGCCTGAAATTCTCTACACATTTTAAAGGTCAATTGTGATCCTGAAATTCTACACATTTTAAAGATCAATTGTGATCCTGAAATTCACTATGTTTTCAAGTTCAATTGTGACCCTGAAATCCTCTATGTGTTCAAGTTCAATTGTGATCCTGAAATTCACTGTGTTTTCAAGGTCAAATGTGAACTTGAGATTATCTATATGTTTTCAAGGTCAAATGTGACCTGAAATCCTCTATGGGTTCAAGCTCAGTTGTGATCCTGAAATCCTCTGCATTTTAAAGGTCAGATGTGGTCCTGAAATTCTCTGCACATTTTAAAGGTCAATTGTGATCCCGAAATTCTCTGTTTTCAAGTTCAAAAATTTTCTATATGTTTTCAAGATCAAATGTGACCCTGAAATTCTCTGCATTTTAAAGGTCAATTGTGTTCCTGAAATTCTCTAGAAATTTTTATGTTTTAAGGTCAATCATGATCTTGAAATTCCATATATGTTTTAAAGGTCAATAATGAACACAGAAATGGTTATACAAATCCTCAAATTTAAAAATAATTAATGTTTTCAGCAATGCTTTAAATTAATCATAATTTATTAATATAAATTCTTACAAATTATATAAAAATAAAATCTATTCCCTTATAACAATCTTGGGAATAATTCACAAAAAAAAATCACAACTTTATATTTTCCTATGATAAAGATTGTATTGAATGTTGGAAGAAAAAATTAAATTTCCTTGAAGATCATGTGTCACAAGTGATATATAGCCAATAATAATTTCAAACAAAAAAAAAACCCGCATTATTTTATTATTATTAAAAAGTTGGCTCTATTCTCAAATTTGCTAATACTAATATTATTGGTGGTGCAAATAGTCAGTTTTATACATTAATAATTGATTTAGAGACAAATATTTAGACTTTCA